TAGTTTGGTCAGATATTCTTTTAGATAATCATAACATGTGTTGCTAACTTGCACAATATTGTAGAAACAGGCATCTTGGTAAAAGATTTTTGTCTTTTTATTAGCCTTGGCACAATATTTTTTTATATAATAAAATGTAAACCATTTGAAGTTGGTCATTTTTCAAACTGCAGATGTTTAACAAATTTTAACATATTACAGAGTTAAGTGTTAAGTAAATGACAAGTGAATAGCAGCTAGACAGAAATCATACAGAGATAAGCAGTATAATTTTCCTTGTTTCTTAACTTGATACTTATATTGATTATGTATTAGCATATTAAGAGGTTATGTGATTATTTTGTAAATAATTCTACCATATATTGAATTATTATATATAAAAACATAAATATACTACCTTACCAATAACAGTGTTATACACATAATGGACCGACATGAACGTGTGTATGTGATAGATTTAGTTGATGCAGGTAAAGAATGTATAGATGGTATATTGGGTTAGACTGGAGTCTGTAAAGCCTTCATCAGCACACTGTGTGAATCCTCAGCCAGCTCATTCAGGCAGCTGTTTAACATGTAGCGGGTGGTCCCAAAGGAAATCCCACCAGCTGCCATGGATCCAAAAACAGGAATGTTGCTCACCAGGTACTCAAGAAGCATTAACCCACCGCCAGCTGCCTTGGTCAGCAGCTTAATGACCACATCAGCTGTTATCTCCTTATTAAGGGGAGATTTGAGATCCGATTTCAGGTCTTCAAAAGGTACCCCTGTTCTGCTAGAAAGATTTCTCAAAGAATCCTCATCTAGACCAAATGCCAAGTAATATCTGGAGATCTGCTTGACCAAAATAGTCACATCAACAGCAACTGATAGGCCTGGGATGGGTATGGCAGCTATTGTGCCTGATAGTACAGCCATTTTCCATATGTCTGCCTTCAAGGCTGCCTTCTTTTTCTCAATGATTTTTTGGCTCATATTGGGCAGAGACAACAGGAAGACATGCCTCTTGTGCATGGGAAGCTCCTTCTCCATGGTCTCTTCAAGTAAAGGGAAGTCATAGCCTCCCAGTTCAAAGCTGGAAATCAGGAAGACTGTGGGAGAAGTTAAGCCCTGTTTCTGAAGGCCTGAAAGACAGAGGGAAAACATGTCAAGCTGCTTCAAATTTCTTTAGAGCTCTAATAAAAAATTATGGAAAAATGTTTTACACCTAACCTCTGTAATCACTCTTATCATGTTTTTCCATGAATTATTCATCCTATCCTCTCCTACTTTTCTGTAAGGATTTTCATAGACCTTACCTTTAATACAGTCATCTCGGATTGTTTCTAATGTCTTATCACGGTCAAAGGTTTTCTTTTGTTTTTCTGCTCTAATGTCATTATCAATCTTGGAGCGTACAAAATAGAAACTCTTCTTCATTTCCTGGATCTCCAAGGCCAGCTGTACATTGCTGGACTTGAAACGTTCTGATGCAATGATGATGAAGAAATCATAGCGTTCAAATTTCACATCCTGAAGGTATGTGTCTGCCTTGAAGTTGGGGGTTCCGATTCCAGGTAGATCCCACAGCTGGACATTGGGATACTTTGGGTGGGGGTAAGATTTAGCATCCATGGTAGTCTCCACTACACCAGTGGGGGCTCCGTTAATTTCATCATCATTTGGAATCCCTCGGAAAGCATTAACAAAGGTGGACTTCCCAGAACCGGACTCTCCAGTGATAGCAATGTTCAGAGTAGTGTGATCTAGTTGGTTAAAATAGTCTTGAATCTTTTCAGCTGCTGTAGCCAAGGTGCTCTTCTCCAGTGCCTCTCTGATATCTTTCACTTCCTCATCAGTAATCATGCCATATTCATTTTCATCCATAGTGTTATGACAGATATTCAGGGACCCAAATGCGGTACAAGGAGCGTTTATTAAGGAGACAGGCAAACTGAAATGGATCTTGTTTCTTGGTCGGGGTAATGGAGCTGAAGAAGTCGGGAAAGTCAGTCCTACAGGAACATGAAGGACAGAAGGTTACCACACTGGGGAGGTCTGAAGAGATGGGGACGTGGTAGGACTGAGGCTCAGAAGGAAGGGCAGGTCAAGGCAGGACAATGGAGACGAGAGAAGCGCTCAGTAAGTGACATTAGATTAATAATATCTCACACTGAATGCAAGGTTGAGTGAGCTTTTCTAGCTAAGAGTTCAGGTGTTGTCACATTGGGGCAACTGATTAAGCCGCGTCTGCACATGGGACGTGACATAGCTGAATTTAACAAAAACAATACAGTGTCATATAGCACACATTTCGATGTTCTTCTGTATAATGCATCTCTTTCAGTTCTGTGATTCATATCATTAATGAATGTATGTTTTGTGAATACATGCGCGGGGTGGCAGACGTTCCGGATAGATGGAATATATGTGAATAATCGAGTACTTTTTTCTATATATCTTAGCCTGCATATGCATAGGCAAGGATTATCTAATGTCTTTCA